GAAAAGCACGGAAAACCTCAGTCAGGGTAGCCGAGTAGTCAAGACCACTCGTTGCGCCGAATTGGCCGTCTTTTGGGGACAGCCTCGGCTGGCCTGCTGAGCATCGGTCCCCCTCGGTTGCCCTTGGGTGACCTCTGACAGCCCTCGTTCGGCACGAGTGCCTCAAGTGTTGTCGGACTAAGGGTTTCCCCACACCAGCTAACTTCGAGTCAAATTTCTCGATAGTTCTCTGACGCCGTCGGCAAAGAGCGGGATCTCCAAATCCTCTTGAATTTGCTCTTTAAACAAACAATATATTATTAAACTTTTGGCTTTATTATGTTTGGCATATCCTGTCCAAAATGACAACACAGGAGACTCTACCATCGATCGACCGACCTACAAAACCTATCGGCAAATAACTGAATATCTGCTGGACGGTTCCTTACAAGGAATAACGGATGAGAGAAAGCATCCAACCTTCACGACTTTACCTAAGATTTCGAAGGATAACTCATTCTGTGAGCAATTCGTAATTTTGTTTCCATCTGTATTATTTCATGTCTCTATTAAATTGTCTTATAATAAGTCAAACGACTCAGAAACGACGTCGTATCAAATACAAAGCTTATTTGTATTCAATGCTGTAAAATGAATCTCACGAACTGTGCCCCGGAAGAGAAAACTGTCAGGTCGTGAAACACGGGCCCCGTGAGGCGACTCGAACACAGTACTTCAGGAAGAGAGTCAGATGAGCGACGGCTTGATCTAAGTAGCAAACCTTGCACTGCTTACTATTGCACCGACGATTATGATGATTATTTTAAGGATTACAAAACAAGTTATTACACGCACACTGTAATATTCTCTCGCCTGCACGCCCTTCATAAGATGCAAAACGCCACCAAGTTATGGCTGGATGAGCCGGACTGCACGTGTAAGAGAATAAGCGAATGCAGATTGGATTTGAATGGAATAAAGTCCGTACGTAAACCAGACACAACAATAAACTGATCAGCCAAATCAATACCAGTGACACAGTGACTCAACTGGCAGCCCAAATGTGATTCGACGCCATCAATTTCCCTCTTAAAGGCGCTTACGAAAAATTGAATTGCTGAGCAGACATCTGTCAGTTGGATCATCGATCACGCGAAGGAAAATCGGTCCAGAAGAAATATATTTACTTCCAATACGAAGAAAAGTTTGAAACTGTCGTCCAGATGAAACATTGATCAGGCGGTTCAGGATTTTAATTTTAAAAAAAAATTTTATCGAAATGAACACAAGTGGTAAAATAACCAAAAACCTCTTGTGAAGATTTTATAGAAAATTTTTTTTATAAGAAAAAGTTGACTCGTGGATGTGTCACAAATATTCGGAGACAATGGAAATTGCTCTGTCAAGTAAAAACGTGGATGTTCTTTCGGAAAAATAAATTTTCCGTAGGACGGATTGGAATCAAGGATATTTTTCTTCGTGCCAGGAAGAAATTCGGCTAAATTATCCATAAAATATGTGACACGCGTCTCGTCGATGGACGTACAACTCTGACTTTTGCTGTATTCTCTGGAACTCGCTTTTATCGTCAATTTTATTCCGAATTCTCTTCTACCTACTCATGTGTAACAACAATCCCAGCAACTGTACTGAACACTACTAATAAATATTTTCGATAATATCGACTGTATTCTATTTCAACTTATCTCACTCCGGTATGTCTATTCGATCACATGTGCACTGAGTGGTCTGTGCAGACTGGGAACGTGGCCTGACAGGCAAATTTCAATCACCGATGTACTCAGCGACCCATATTTCTTCAAAAGCAAACACTTTCATGCGAAAATACATGGTAGAGCTTTGTTAAGGAAATAGAGTCATATAACTGGAAAATAAAAGTAGTAGTAAGATTTTAAAGAAGCACGTCCTATCTGAATTAAAGTGTCTTCGTCCGCCTACACTGGTACTCGGTACTGTCCACAGAGAAATAGACTCACGCACGCTGATCACAGACAAACAAATCCGCTTTCCTTGACATCTGATTAAAAGTTTCGCGTCGTATAACTCTGTTTCCTAGTATAATTCCAAGACATTAGTACACCTCAGCAGATACAGTATCCGAATTATTCTTATATATATATCCTAATACGCTGTTTTACGAGTAGGCCTAGATTTAGTTATCTTTTGTAGAGAAATGTAGCTTGGTACTGCACCCAATAACACCGCAGTACACTTGACCGTACCAGTTCAATTCCCGTCCCTGAGCGGGCCAACACGCCTAACGCTGATATAACAGACTAAATTCAAAAGATGGGCAATTTTTTACATTTCTACGAACACAATTTTCTAGTGACAGTGAGGTCTGTGTTGTCTGCTGTATAATTATTTAACAGAATGAAAACACGATTAGTTATAATCGAGGCAAATTCATTGTCTGCTGTATAATTATTTAACAGAACGAAAACACGATTAGTTACAATCGAAGCAAATTCTGTCCTGAAACAAGTTGCAGTAGCTTCTGCGTTAGTTCTTGTTGGTTAACAAACGAAACTTTGCATTACGAAATCTGAAGCTCTTACTTACAGAACAACCTCTGCTAAACTGGCTGATCATTAATAGAAACACTCGCTTAAAAACCCCGTTTCCTACTGATGGCATTACACAAACCTTGTCACTTCACTCCAAAAATAAATACCTAAATACCTAACTCCGCACGCCCAGTCACAGGCGGAAGGATCCAGTGGCTGTCATCGGAATGATAGGACGTCGACTGAATGACTGATTTATTGCCGGACTGGATGATGTAAAAGTAATTTGCGACTGTCTGTGCAATAAACAAAACTAATATAAAATCAGAAATAGAACAAACGAACCTAACCTTGTCTTGACAACGACTGTTATGTTACAACCTATCAGCATAGTACAGCCATGGCAATCTTAATTGCAATGTTAATACAGAATACAGTGAAGTTCGTTAACTTGACAGACTGGCCTCTAACTTAAACTTAAGGTAGCCTGCATTTACCTATACTCTCGTCTGTCTTCAGTTGAAACTATTTGTAATTTTTTCAAAAACATGAATTGTACAAAATGTCCACGAAGTCCAATAACTTTATGTTTGTGGTACATATTATATTACATGTAAAACAAATACTTCATATTACTGGGATACTGGGAACGACCCGTTCTCCAAGTGCCTGAGCACTGCGGGTCACAACTTTTCGTTGGCTTGATCTATAGACATTCGGTAGGACTCCTTGGACGAGGCCTCTACCTGTACACAGGACAACGCGGACAAACATCCATGGCTTGAGTGGGATTCGAACCCACGGTCCCAGCGACCAAGCGGCACAAGGCCCACGCCTCAGACCGCGCGGCCACTGCAGACCCCTTTATACTTCATATTGGAGTTATTAACCACGAGTTCAATGAAACTGGTGGGACAGATGAGGAGTTGACCACCGAGAGGTGAGCATTTTGTCACAAGTCCAGGGAAGTTTATCGGAAGACGCGAGCGTCAAACACCCCACAGCCTAGGAAGGAGACTTCATTTATACATATTTGGCGTACACAGTAAACCCTCCTCCAACGCGGATTCTATTATACACTAATTATACTTTAATGCTTAACTTTCTATATCATACTTCTTTTGTCACTTTGTCAATAAGTGAAAGTAAAATTACAATGAATTAAATCACAATATTTTTGTATTTACTTTGAATTTCTCACGCCGCGTTCCCTTATCTTCCTCAGTTGCATACAAAATTAAGTTCGCCAAAAGCGTATTCACTCAACGCGCCGCCTTCGAGAAACGTTGAACGAGGGTGCCATTGAAACAACCGTTCGTAGGTCTAAGGCCTACCTGAGCGCAAATGGTGTAGCAAGATTCCATACGTCAGAAGCGTAAAATTTGGACTTGTATTTTCCAATCAGCAAACTGTCATCCACACTCTGGAAGAATGTGTGAGACTCCTCAGGTGGAATGTTCTACATTCGGAACACCCTGTAGTCGTCAGTTGTTGAAGCAGGCCGTTCGAATAGGCTATTCTTTTCAGAAGAGCTCACACTCCTAATGGATTGTATTGTTACAAAGTAACTCAATTATTGTATGCTGAAATGCATTGTCTGAGCTGGTTAAACTGAACAGGCACAGTTGGTGTCCACCAGCTGCTAGTTCATCTGTACCCGCTGTCGCGGTGTTAAAGACTTGTGGAACGAAGGGCAATCAGCCGCGTCAACTGGTTACTGTAGTAAACCGACGTTTCTGGAACCAACTCTGTCCTCATCATCACGGTTATGATGTGGGAAGATTTCATTGATTGTACTCGCTGCGAAAGTCTCAAATCCTACATCATTCGTACTTCCGATTACGTGGCTTTCGGAAACTGCTAATTTTATTATTCGGTTATTTTGTAAAGTCAATTTGTATATATTAAATCTTGTCCGTCTAATCACAATAAATTCTTATTAAATATTAAAATATTACAATAATTAACATTTAAAATATTTAAAATATTAAATGATGTTCTTTATCGAAATATTCGATTTACATTAGACCATCATTTTTCATGTTTCACGACATGTTTCAGTTTCTTAGCCGAGGTAAATATTTAGCCATGTAGCTCATAATGTTTATAAGTAAACTGTTTTCTGGATATTATCCATTGTCCAAGTTTAAATAAAATCAATAAAAAAGCACGACGTTTTGGAGATAGACTCCCGTATCCGAAACGTCGTGGTTTTTTATTGATTTTATTTAAACTTGGACGATGGATAATATCCAGAAAACAATTTGCTTCAACAACGCACCATCGTCACAAACTTTCAGAACTGAGCTCCATAATATTTAGCTCCTTAACAAAATTGAATATGGAATTTACAAATGGTTATATTAGTATAATAGATGTGATTCATATCTAGTTTTATAAAAATCTGTAAACATACAAATTTAATCTAGGCACTTACGTACACGGGTCATTTGAATTAACTGACGAGAAAAACTTTCAAGTACTATACGTCTAGTGGTGGTATAACAGATGTGTGCAAGTTTCAGCGAAATGTGTCGATAAACTAATCATTCGTGACTTTTCATTAATTTTTCTCCCTTCAGCCCTACGAATGAGACCATCTGCCCTGTTTCAAACAACTCCAGAGACTGGAAACCTTCAACATTTGTTACGGCTCCTTGGACGACTCATTGCGAGGCTACGAGCCTTCAGCTGTCTTTTTATTCTGAAGTAATTACGTAAAAAAAATCTTTTTTTAGAGAAACGTGTACTGTTCCATTACAACAGAATAATAGTTATTAAATGTGTAAAAATAACTTATCATAATGACATTGCAACTCATTTTCAACACGTTAATAGACGAATTATTTCGCCGGAAGTTTGGCATTTGTTTATTGTAACGACATTAATTAAGCTGAGCCAATGTTACACTCCAGATCGATTAGGCTGTCAGTGCTGTTCATAACATCTGTTCAACAAACAAAGCACGGATATGCCCCCAAAGTCGTCACGGTCAAGACTCGCCCGTCAGAACTTCATTTGTGACAGACAGGATCGACCATGGGAAGGAGCGGCCATGTTACACGTGGATTTATTTCTGTCAGTCTGCATTTTGAGAAATCCTGGTACAGAGATATCAGGTAGGAAGCGAGCCAGATTCTGTGATGCTGAATCTCAACTGGTGTGATGTCACTGTGACCTAGTTACGTGATAATATTCCACAAGATTTTCGTAACAAGGAGATCCCGTTCGGCAGGGCGGATTGCCCTGGACGGGAAGGGTCGAGAAACTAGCTCTAGTCCCTGTTTCTACACTAAAACTGATTAATTTTTGCGGTGTCCAGCAAAAATTAAATTTTGTACTGAGTTTCCATGTTATAAATACCGTAAACTTAACAGTAAAAACAATACTTAATAACGAAATTTAAATCAACATCCCTCCACCACAGAAGACTCCATAAACTTAGTTTTAAGTAGTCGCATTTCGTTCAACAGACGCCATCTGACTTAATCTATAGAATATCTCACTTCTTAGCAATGTGATCTACCCCATAAAGGCAGCGGTCCCATTAAAATACGTACATAAAAGAGTGATTTTGAAGTCCGCGTTAACCTGTAAGAACAGGAAGTGGGTAGCGATTCAGAATTTCTGTGCAAACACGCGCCCCCAGGTAAAACACGCAATATTACGTCATTTTATAAATGACTTTGACTACAATCTTAAATCAGTTGTGTCCTGTTTTAACAGTGATTCACTTTGACAAATATGTCTGTGTTGTCACAACTGTAAACGTACTTTTTAATCACCCTGTATGTGTGCATAATAATACTGCAATGATTATGCAAGAAGGGAACGAATTTATTTTTCGAAGTTTATTCTACCATCAAATGCGTAATGAGTGTCCAGTTCTTACAATTTCCCTGCTGTTCTCCAGGAGATTTGGGACATTTCATTCCTCAAATATGAGCAGTGTTGGCATTATAAGAAGATGGCGGTTATCTAAAGATCAGCCTCTACATAAAGTTTGGGTTGTGTTGACACGGTCCACTGCAGAGACTTCGTGACCTAACGATCCATAACGGGCTCAAATGTCCCACGACTGGAAAGGTCTGCCTGACATTCGCACCAACAAAAGTAGAACCAGCCCCCAAGGACGAACAAATGCACACACCGCGTTCTGCTGTAGCAGCCGATTAGCTGGACGGAGTTACACCCTTGCATCCTCTACGGAAAATGTGGCAGGCTACACGATGCACGAGATTCACTTCAACATTCATGAAGCTTGGATTCGTGAAAGACCTAACATTAATTACAAGTCAAAGAAGTCACAAGCATACTAAGGTGTTCAATGAAACTATTTCCATGACACCCAGTCTTTCACGAGAAGGTGGAATCGCTCAGCTAGTCAAATTCCCTGTCAATCCTAAAACACAGAGCTTGACTAATTCAGATACTTCATATTCTCATGCCGTGTTTCTTTAAGTTCCGTCGCAATTCTTTTTAAGACGAAGCTCGTCTAAATATTTAATAATTCAGTCCGTACCGCGAAGAAAACACTACACTTCACCATTACGAAGATCAACTGGTTAACGCTGTTTAAGGAAATAATAATCGTTGTTTAGACTGATAATCATACGAAATACATTAATAAAAAATGGTGAGTTACTGGATGTTGAAGTAGGTGGTATACAAAATTACCATTGGGCTTTAAAGAACTAGAATCGTCCTCCAGCTTATGATTACGTCTTCTCCCCGTTTGACAATCAGACTAAAGTTTTGTATGCATGTTTCACGTAGCTCTGTCTCAACTCCATGATTCGATCAACTTAATTCAATTATTTAGATTATTGAAACAGCCAAAACCAACAGCACAATAAAAAATAACATGAAAAAGAAACTAAAATTAACAAGGTCAAATGTGCAATATAAAGCCCACAGAATATGTACAAAGCAGAGCAAAGGTCAAATGTTATGAAACACCCGTTAGTGAACATGATCTACGCCCCTGCAAAAAGAATATCTGGCTGAAGGACTTTTCTTGAAATTGTGATTCACCATAAATGCACAGTGGTGTCTAATTTCGTAGTTACTGGAACACGGTCAGAATGAAATATGGAAGGACTAATTTTGCATTTAAAGACATTATTAAGGAAAATGGCATCCAGAGTGTTGACTCTGTCCAGCTAAAATACCTTCATAATTATTATAATACACTACCACAAAATATGCATTATGGCATAAGGCAGCAAATGTTATTAGAACTCTTATTAAGCTCTACATGCGACATGTGGGCCAAAATGTTTTCATTCCCCATCTCTTAAGCGAAACAATTCTCCTTGGTATTTTGACCCAAATTTATCGTTATCCGTTGGGGCGAGAGTTTACGTTTCACCCCAATGCAACAAAATAAATACAATTATGGATATATTTTAATGTAATATTTAGGCTTTCGGTTACGCGCCGGGGCTGAACGTAGCAAACACAACCTCTTAACTTCTTTGCTAACTAAAGTTCTTTCCTTCTGGCCCTCCTTGTTTCATGATTAACCCTTAAGTTCGTTACGCCTGTTCATTTAATGAGACCAAATCTGCAAAAATTGTACTCACCGGACAAAGAACTACATTTTCTTCTGACGACAACACGTGACAAACACTATTTCTTCCAACTGCTTTCACTACACTGGTCCTGCCCTTGCCTGTTATAGCGGAAACGGAAGCCAAGTGCTGCCACTATAAGTACAACGTGGGGAAAACTTACAAGCACCAAATGTCCCCACGGTCGAAATAGTTCCCCTTACCCAAACGTTTAACGCGAGGTTACAAAATTATGTGTGCACAGAAAGAACGTGTGTATATATGTGTGTGTGTCTGAGTCCGGAAAAGATGTATACACACAAGGTTTAGTTTTTTTTAAAATGTCTTCATTTCATTTATTGAAAGTGTATACATACTTGTATTTCTGGAAATTCTGTGTACACACACTCTCAAAAGTAACGGGACACAAAATATCAATGTTGGTCTGATTTTTATACCTAATTCCATACAAAATCATGTCTTAATCTAAACATGTGATTACAACTCACAGAAGAAAATAATATAGTCTAGACGTTCTCAGTCTGCGGTATGCCGATGGCCCACGTATATTTTTATAATAATGTATCAACCTGCATTATGAAAAAAAATTAGTAAGTTACCGCGTACGTAACTTTACGCAAATTGTTAATAACAATAATAAACAACTTTCTTGAAGGCAACAAACAAACTGAGTAATATGCGAACTTGCTTGAGTAGCATTCATCATAAATTGCCTGGAAATTTCAATAAATTGTCCTAATTTATAATTTAGTGCCCCTCGAGTCGATAAGAAATGGCGAATGTGACGCCGGATTTTTTAGGGTTGAAAAACTCTGATGTAATAAAAAAGTAGAGCTTAGAGGTTAGATACAATAAAAGGCGATTAATGAAATTTTTATCTAGGCAGTAACAACGTTTCTGTTCTAGGACACTACTCATCGATTACATAAATAAACTACCACAATTCTAATTTAAAATAAATTGTAAAGGCAGAGGCAAGTTGCCACTAATTCCCCTCATGTTCAGCATAGAAAGACCGTGACCTTGAATGCTTTCACGCTTTCTAGTGCGTCGTGTCTTTGCATTTACGTAGAATTTATAAATTGTGTTGGTCAAGGCCGTGGTCTAGGCAACACGGAGTTTTCCTCCGGGGGCTTCCCCGGTTTCTCCGTGGCATCCCAACAATTACTCGATTCACACACAGAAGAAGGCAATGGCAAACCACTTCTGGATCATCTGCCAAGAACGTATATGAACAGGCCCCAGTCCGAGAAAAGGATGGAAGGATCCTGTTCATATGGACCTGTCGTCGGACAAAACACTAAATAATAATAATAATAATAACTGCATAAACAATGCGATGTGAACAGCAGTGGATACCAGTCAGTTTGAAATTGTGTTGCAGATGGTGGCAACTCTGCAGCAGGGGCAAATAGCTTATCAACTGAAGGCCAGCCAGCGATGTTCCAGGTTGCAGACGCCGCAGGCGACCTACGAGCAAGGTAGTAGTCAATCGGCCCGTGCTAGAATGTTTTTCACAGGTTGCAGTATCAAAACATGATTCTTTAATTATTTATTTATGGTTTATTTGAATTGGAAAGGATATGAAAGGAAGCAGTCGTGGCCTAATTTAAGGTACTATCAATGAAGTCGCGGAAAAACGGACTGAAGAAGACAGGAGACACGTTTATAAAAAACTCTGGTAACCACCTACAAGACTTAAAGACGACGTCACAACCCAGATGACAATAATCGAAATTAATTTTTGTTTCGTGACATTAAAGCCTGACCAGTGCTGGGCAGCGCTCATTTCTGTGTCAAACCAAAGGCTCGTCAGAATCAATACTGGGCCCAAACACAGGAAAATACCACAGTCCTTGACACACAGTCGTAAAAGCTTTGTTTTCAAAGTTACTGTTCGCAAGCGAATAACAATGGCCAATTTAAAGACAAAGCGATGATAAAACACCGACGTTATCTGCCGTCATTTTATCCATGATCGAAATGAAATGCACACAGCTAACATATTAAATCAGGGATCAAGCTCGGTGACTAGCACGGTTAATCACTAACAAATGGAATGAAGTATTAGAAACGCTAATTGTTCTAACTTCCAAGCTGATGGCTTGTGTGCTCTGTATGTATGCAACACTCACATCCTTAATCCTGTAAATATATTTGCTACGAATCCATGAGCTACCTAAATCATACGAGTTTTAACTCTAAATGGTTTTAACGATGGTGTGTTACATTCTGTATTGTTGTGTATCTGCACTATATCCAGCGTCCGGAATATTTGAAACGAATCAACCACATTTGGGGGACTTTCGCCTGAAGACGGGAACATCTTGCCTTTAGTAACTGATTGATAAATGAAGTCCACACAAAAATACTGAAGGATATGTTAGGTTGATTGTTAAGAAACTTGTTCACAGACTCAAAATAAAGGTTTAAGTAAAAATGGTACTTCTTATACACTGATTTTATTACTAGTCGCTTGGTTATAATCGTCGAACAAATAATTTAACTTACCGGTAGTCGAGCCAAAATTTTCAGTTTAACAAAGCACTTTTCTAGCTTCTCAGCCAGGATAATTCATCAGCGTCACAAAGACGAAGGCCACAGCTCATAAACCGTCTGTATTTATTATATTTAGATTAATGCCTAGCCAACAAAGTACTCTTTCATTCCAATGTCTCACTTGTAAAGCTTTGCTGATTCAAGACAGACCTCTTCTCTAAGCAAGTCAGTTACCTACGGCATTGTTGAAGACAATGTGCATAGATTACTAGAAAGAAAGTGGTTCATTGTTTTACAATGTTTTTTCAGAATTTGCAGCTGAAACAATTCCGGCGAGGAATTCGTATGTTACTTTTTATGCCTACAACGTTAAATTACGTGTGTCAGGGCAAGAGTGAACCGGTTCTTAAGAAATTATTGGTTCAGAGGTCTTTCTTTTTGAAGTTTCTACTCAGGTTCATGAATAGAACACAATTTCGAATTGTATTGAAATTTCATGTTCTCGAATCTTCATAATAACAGGCAACCAAATTGACAGCTCCCGGCCGAGTGAACTGATTTTATCCTCCAAATTTGTCATACGATATGTAAGCATTCTACTGCACACACACACGTCTCTTCACGTCAGATGGAATGGTTCCAATCAGCGTGGCTCAAGAAGATACAGTCCACAGATCAGGTGAAAATCCTTGCTAGGAATTCGATATACGCGCATGCGCAAGATTTCGCGGTGAGTGACGACCGATCCTACAATCATTCGTTCCACAACCACTGAACGAACAACAGACGACAGGTTTTCATGTGTTGAAATGGGAACAGCTTTAAGATTACCTCACAGTGGCACAGCGATTTAATCTAGAATATTATCGCAACACCCGCAGAACACATTAGAGGTGCGCTCACTACATGCTACTCTTAACTGCTTGATGTTTTCAGTCTGTGTAGTAGCGTAAAACTCTGACGTATCACACTTCCCACCAATAGCAGCCCTCTAGTCCAGCTGATAAGTAACATTCTCCCCGCACCGCCCCAGAAACGACTTCCCCTTGCAGGGTTTTTCTCGTGATCTGTGGACAGTACAATGTCCTCTTTTCCTTGTTACTTCTTACTGCGCGCTGCATTGTTGCAGAATCGGCCTGGTGCCGTGAGGAATTCGACGGACTGGTGTGCTGGCCGCCCACTTCAACGGGACACACCGCGACCGAGCCCTGTCCCGACTTCCTGCAGACTGCGAACCTATCATCGGGTGAGTGAACTGCATTTGTGGCTAAATATTACAGCTTATGGGCTCTGGGAGTGCTTTCGGTCATTAATTTGCCGGCATATCTATTTAAAAATATTTGCTAACGGAATAAATCTGTGGTTTGGGGAATCAACATAAGACCACGACTACGGACTCTCATGTGAGATTGAGGTTCTCGCGGTGACAATTCTTGGTCGTTGTGCCGTATAGTACCACATACGAGGTGCGATCGGAAAGTTTCAAGACTGTGTCAATAGAGGGCGAACCGGATGTAGTACGAGCTTCTGCCGCTAGGGGGTGCGGCCTACATTCATAGTAAATCAGTGTGCCAGACGGCATCATCGAATTAGCATTTGTTTCTTAGTTACGGGCGTTTTGGTAGTGCATTACACCGACCCTCCTGCGATTTCGGAATGGCGTGTGCATCAAATTTTGCCAAAGCCTCGCCAAAACGGCTACGGAAACCTGTGAAATGCTAAAGCAAGCATTTGGGGAGTCCGCAATGGGTCGTGCACAAACTTTTGTGTGGCATTCACGTTTTAAAAATGGCCGAACCTCTGTCGATGATGACGAGCGTTCTGGACGACCATCTTCGAGCACAACGCCCGAAACTGTTACGAAGATCGACGTCGTACCATCACTTGTACGACTTGTGCGACATTGTTGGGATAGGCTATGGGACCTGTCAGCTGATTCTAAAGGAAGAACTCCACATGCGACGCATCGCAGCCAAGTTTGTGCCAAGGTTCCTGTCTGAGGACCAGAAGCAGAATCGCCTTGACTTCTCGTTTGTCAGGAGCTCAAAGATCTTGCAAGATCCGACCCCAACTTCCTTTCTAAGCTCTGTGTGACTTCTTCCTCTTCCCAAAGATGAAATTTCAGCTAAAGGGAATTAGATTTGAGACGATAGAAGAGATTCAGGCAGAATCGCAGATGGTGCTTGACAGGCTGACAAAGAAAGATTTCCAGGGATGCTTCCAGGCTTGGCAGCGGCGCTGGGATCGTTGTGTTCACTCCCAGGGGAACTACTTCGAGGGTGATGAATGAATTTAATACCTGAGATAAGTGTACGGGTTTTTTTTATAGGCGCAGTCTTGAAACTTTCCGATCGCACCTCGTATTTACCGACGTTTTAGAGGTTATTGTTGCCTCCATATCAGGGCGATGAGGTCTACACGGCGCAAAGCCCAGAATATACTCAACTACAGAGATTTTTATGTTAGTGACAAGATTACCCTAACTTTTAAAAACTGTTCCAGACGCGACAAGCTGCATTTAAGTGAAATCGAACCAGCCAACCAAAACGCGGACTAAGGTCGGAGCCTTGCGCGAGCGAAATTAGTCTCTTGCGATGTACGAAACGGACAACTCGTAATTCGTAAACAGTGCCTTATAACTCTAGTCTGGGGTGTGCCTAGGCTATCGGGATATCTGTCTTCGCTGTTCACACTAAGGCCTGTCATTACTTGCCATGTGCAAAAAGAACTTCGTCTGGGAGTTGAAGCCAGAAGGGTTGGGATCACCTCTGCAACTTGGGGAGGAATTATTTTCGGCAAAGGCCTACATGATCGGGGTAGATGGGCCATGTCCCTCTTGAATTTGCCTTATAACTGAGCAAAAACATGTAAAATCTCAGTCTGTGTTGGTTTTAAAGCACTTGCTACTGATTTACTTAAGGGACTGGAATGTCTGCAACAACACAATATTATTTTTATGAAAGTATGTGAAAGGAATACTTTAATAGTGCATATCGTCCCTATTAGGGGATAACATGTAGTGGATGTGTAACAGCCTGCAATTTTTTTAATTTCTGGTGTTCCCTTTGAGGTGGAATTTTAAAGTAAAGAGTTAATATGTGAGACATTTCAACCTGCACTGTGGCACGCATCCACAATTTTGTGAACACGAGAGGATCGTGTTGTTACAGTGAGCCGGATATGTGGGCCCGACACCTCCTGGGAGCGCAGCGACACCCTCAACTACACATCCTGTGGCCTGGATGTGGAATATAGCACAGTGAGTTATCGGTTCTTATCTTATGCACTTACTGACTGCCGTACTAAATACAAACAGTTCTAAATTAAACATATTATACTGTAACAACTAATCAGTTCCATTTTCTCCTTCTTTCCTGAAATACACATATTTGTTTCTTCTGGACTCATATTTGAGAAATATTATAACTCGCCACTTTCCTAAATAAAATAATCTATTTGTAATTGGAATGTTGTTCCAGGTAATTTAAACTTCTTCTGTTCTTGGTTACAGTAGTTTCTCAGCTATCAGCTGAACCTAAAATATATTTTTATCCTCAAATACTAAAACATTAAGAGATGGGTTCTGATGTATCTTCACATCAGACACAATGATCAGTCACATAGAGAAGGTAAACTAATTAACTCCTCAAAGTTTACATTCTAGGTGTGCTAAGTATCATGTTAGAAAGGAATAAAAGACATGGAAGTAAAGCTATACTTCAGTACTAGATGTATATATTTTAATTATTTTTAATATATTTAAATGTCCTGTTTCAATGACACAGATTGTATATAGTGTCCAATAGGATGGGAAGATTAACATGAATGTTGAATATTTATAACTAACTGACTCCCTGGTAGCAAAATCCACAGGTTCAACACTGACAACACCAAAGCCCGCCACTGGCCACGATCCTGAGCCAACTCCACCCATTTACCATCCTCACAGCCCATCTCCCTAAAATCCACCTTCACGTTATCAACTCATCTCCTTTCTGGTCTGCCCAGTGGTCGTTTTCCAGATGGATTTCCTACCAAAATTCTGTATGCACACCTTGCCCCCACCCCTCCATGCATACTACACGTCCAGCCAAACGGAGCCAAGTAGATTTCACAATCCTCACTATGCTAGGTGACCTGTACAATTCACACAGCTCCTCGTTATGCAATATTCCAAATTCCCCACTCATTTCATCGCTCCTAGGTCCAAATATCCTCCTGAGCACCCTGTTCTCAAACACTTGTAATCTACATTCTTCCTTCAAGGTAAGAGAGCATGTTTCACAACCATACAAGACAACCGGAAAAATTATTGGGTACTTGTTGGTTATCGGGACACAAAACGGGAGAGTCGAATACCTGGACTTCGGCCCGACATCATCTGGATTCATATTTAGCTGAGTTCATGTGGTGGTGTACAAATGATAATGGTGATATTTGTAAAACGATTCTAAAATCTATAAGCGAATTTTGGCCTCCGGAGACAGGTTGTAACAACAATTAACATCTCATGCATATCCAAATAAAATATAATAATTTGTCATTTATTGAAATAAAATATAATAACTTTCAAGTATATGTCATTTATCCACACACATTAACCTAACCTAACATAACCTAACCTATTTTTAAAGCGATGTGTCCCGATAACCCACAAATACCGATTATTGTTTTCTACATCCTGATCTTCAGTGTTATAGATAGTAAACGAGATAACACTTTTTGAATTGAACATAAGCAAGCATTCCCCGAATGTATTCTACTCTTAATTTCATCATGGACCTCACTTCTATTTGTTATTGTTGTTCCCAAATACTTAAATTTTGAAACATTTTCAAATGATGCATTACTTGTAACTATGTTCTGCCATTGTTAAAATTAAAAAGCATTGGGGATAAAGCATCACCTGTTTTAGGCCACTGTGCACTGGGAATGGATCTGACATAAGGTTACTCATATGAACTCTACTAGATACTCCATCTAAACACATCTTAATTAATCAAACAAGTTTCTTTGGCATTCCAAACTCAATCAAAATGCCATCCAGTACCTCTCTTCTGAGGCTCATGCCTTCCTAAAGTCCACAAATACTTAGTGTACTGACCCATTGCACTCCCACTTTTTCTATAATACTTTTTGCATTTGACAAATATGTTTACTCAGTGCCCTCGTTCTGTTTCAGGCCTTGAGGCAGCAGTATGAACAGATACAAGACCATCAAGTATCCTCAATGTCTCCTGTCCACAGTTCAGACGCGCAGTTCCTTATAGAGCTGTTGCAAGAATGCCACTCCAGACGGAACCACGTCACATTACCAGGTAAGAAGTATGAGCTTATATTCCTCATCATACAGTATGTTCCTCTGAAAGGTTGGTCGGTATCTACCAGACTACATGGTGAAACATCCCAGAAAATAGCCGCCTCCACACTCGTTACCCTGAGAACTTGAAATTTTGTCTAATCACTGTTTGTTCAGAGAATCATACAAAATACATAAATATACTCTGTGGGCAAAACGCATTTATTATGTGTTAAAAACAGCTGGTAGTTATAGTTACCACTATGTTTTAAAAGAATAAGTTTGTCAAGACAAAACCAGATTCCATTACTTATAAGTGTAAAGCGGCCCATCACTTCCCCTTGCAGGGTTGGCGAGCTTGACTCGTGAGCCGGGCTCGGATATATTTCACCACACGTGCATAGCAGACTCGGCTCGTGACACCCCACCCACAAATGAGTCTGGCTCGATGGAACCCGAGCCGAGCCGGACTCGCACGTGGATGGGCCGCTTAAATGCTAAGGCAATTCATGTTGAACGTACCTTACAATGGGGTTGCTTCCGTACACGTTATACCAGCAGCATTTCATCACGCAACATAGCCACTGTGCCCTGGAATAATGGGAAAGTTTGACAGCAGATATTCTCTCACAGACTAGATTATGTTACGCCCTGTGTTGCAGAAGGATTGTATTGCCCACTGACATTCGATGGACTCTCTTGTTGGAACTACACCGTCGCTGGAGAGACGGCTATCCTGCCCTGCCCCTACTTTGTTGCTGGCTTTGATCCCCGACGTAAGCGTACAGTAACATAAATCTACAATATTTATCAGTCTTCATATTGCTTTCATAGTAACAATATATGTTCGATTACAGTTCAGTTCATCATGGCACTTCAGAAATAAAACTAATCAACTTACCGTAGACAGCAGAGTCCTTTTTGAGGAGCTGATAGTCACTCAGTCAAGAAATATCCCATTTTTTATGGAAACTGAAGGTCCAATATTATACCACATGATTAATTTATTTAAAACTCATTTGAATATTATATTAACAACTACTCTTACATAACATATACCAATTTCAGGGTTAGCATTCCGGCACTGCATGGAAGATGGCAACTGGTTTCGACACCCTGAATCAGGCCTCAGCTGGTCCAACTACACAACATGTGTTGACATGGAAGACCTGGAGGTAGAAGTAGAAACGTTTGCTTCTTAACTTTGTCAAAATAATTAAACAGTAGATTTCTGTGATTGGTTAATAGGTTCAAGTTGACTCAAGAAAGTATTTGCAACCGTCAACACATTAGACATATCAAATTACAATTTATAAACTAACTCACCTAATTCTTATCCATAGGCTTTCACAGTTGGAGTTAAATGTATAACATCAGCTTTCAGGGATAAACTGTGTCAAATTTTGAATATTTTCCAACATTTTGGTAAACACTGCAGTTGTCGTCTTCAGGGTGATTTTTTTTCAATCGCATCTTATCCTATTCATGTAGGCTCTAAAAGTTTTTCATCGCCTCCTTTTCGAATCACATGGTCACTAAACACTTCTATCGTGACCTCTTATCCTTAAGGTTTCTCCTCATCCATGCGCTTGATACTGACTGGATAGCAGCTTGCTCCTCTGTTCTGGTAATGAGACCCATCACATGCCTCTCACCATCTACTGCCTGGTCTGCATAAGACTTACAGAATACAATCACCCCAAAGATGGCAACTTTGCTGAAACAGAAAAACCCTCAAAATATGCTGTAGTGTACCTATCACTGAAAGTCACAGTTATACGTAACTTAACCTGTATTTTCATAAAATTTCTTCCGCAACACAAGTATCGGCTATACCGCCGTCATAATCTTGAAATAGCAGAGGCATTTTTCCCACTACAGAAGTAATGTTAGACAGGGAAGGAGACTCTTAGGAGCCCTAAACCCAATATTATGGGATGAAAATATCACAAAAAGAACGAAAGAGAGAATATATAAAACGATGATACAAAGCGTGGCCCTTTATGGAGCAGAAATTTGGCAACTCTCGGAACAACAACAAAATAAGTTGAGAATAATGGAAATGGATTTCCTAAGAAGAGCGGCTGGAATTTCCAGAAGAGAGAGAGTGAGAAACGAAAGAATTAGAGAAATCATGAGGATGGATCAAGATATAATTCAGGAGATAGAGAAAAGACAACTGATTTGGTACGGACACGTGCAAGGGATGGAGGAGAAAAGGTTGCCAAAGAAGACTATGAAATGGCAATCAAAAGAGGGAAGGAAGAGAGGGAGACCGAGACCAGGATGGAATCACAGAATTACAAGAACCATGATAGAATGGAAACTACCTCCGGAAGGATGGGAAAATAGAGAAGAATGGAAGAAAATATTAGGCACCGGAAGACCGAAGTAACGGTCAAGAAACGGAAGAAGAAGAAGAAGAAGAAGAAGAAGAAGAAGAAGAAGAAGAAGAAGAAGAAGAAGAAGAAGAAGAAGTAATGTTTTACTACTATGACCTGGTCATGCAGGGATCATTTCTGAAAACAGGATAAACAATGTGAAGGTGAGATTGAAAATATTATAAGAGAGACTTTATATAGTGCATCCTATCCATTACATCTCAGAGAAGCCTGTTTACACTTCAAACACACACACGCAGCTCACAAGAGACTGCAGTAAGTCTACTGGATACATGATTTAGAGAACAAGAAAATAAAGAAGTCAAAGTGAAGGCTGTCTGGTACCAAATCACAGTACAAAAGTGTAAATAAGGCATGGATGTAAATTCTCCATGTATGAAACATTAGCATTTCAGAAATGGCAGTACAAAACTGAACACTAATTTTATAGAAAAGAAGAATACATATGTTCACGGCAACATGGTACATTTAATTTTACATATGAAGCTACATTCAGCTCATTCACCAGCAAAATATAATTTTCATATTTTAAAAAGTGTATTTTTCACACACATCGCAATAATAAATATAAAAAGCATGCCTTTACTTGTTCATCTGTCTCATTTTCTGGGAACCTGATACAACTTGTCTGTTTATTCACAGTTCCGCCAGCTAGTCAACTCCCTGTACATGGCTGGGTACCTCATTTCAGTGGTGGCTCTCTGTCTCTCCCTCACAATATTTTTCTCTTTCCGGTGAGCTACATCTCAGACTTACGTATAGCACAACCTCATTTTGAAGAAGTACATGTCAGTCTCCACCTAACGTTCCATATAAATAAGTTAAACTAAATTATTTCAGATTTTATGTAAATAATGGCCAAGCACAAGACATGACTAACAAGTTTAAAATTAATAAAAAGTTAAAAACACTTTAATTTCTAACAAAAATAAAAAAAATTAATGCTCATATACATGAACGTTGTTCTCTCTGCAGATCTCTGAGGTGCACAAGGATATCTGTCCACGTGCAGCTGTTCCTGTCATTTGCTTCTAACAATATCATGTGGCTGATTTGGTACAAGTACGTCATCGCTGACCCCACCGTAGTGAAGGAAAATGGGGTAAAGCACACATAGAGGAACTTATCGATTTTGGTCTTCTGGGAAGAATCCCATGCGTTCTTGTAGGTAGATACCAACATTTTGGAGGAGATATTGTCTCCATCTTCATGTCCAAAGTGAGTCTATGTAGGGTCAACCAGAGTTCAGGATTGAGGAGGGGAAGGTCAGACCAATAGGTAGTCCCATGCAGGAATCACGAGAGAAGGGTTGGATACGAAAAGAGTGAGGGAGAAGTGGTCCTTCAGAGGGTTAAAAAGGAGGGTGGAATCAAGGAGAAGACAGACAAGGCCAAAGGATTGGGAGGGAATAAGAGATGGTCCAGGCTATAGATAGATAGACAGTTCCTGTAACTCCTAGGTGGAGCACAGGGCAATAGCCAGAGCCCATACAAGGAACCAGGCTGGTGGGAAGAGAGAAAAATACAAAATCGGCCCCTTAATGGGACCAGAAAGGAGGTTGGAATGAATATGAAATCTAAAGTTCTCTTTTCGGTTCGAGAACCAAAGGCCAGGCAAAGCAGTGACTGTAAGTGGGAGAAGAGTGTAGTCTTCTGCAACTGAATGCAATGGCTTAGGTTTATGCTGCGTTCAGCTATGTTGGACTTATCGGGATGATAGAGACGGGCGTGCTGGTAATGCTTGTTTGATGCTCATCTCATCTCAACAACTGGTCTGTCCACTGTGCACCTTCTCACTATCACCCACATGGTATTACTACTCAGAAGACTAATATCAACAATTTCACTGTCATGAGAACTTCAGAGTAATACAATGAAACTTGTTCATGGTGCATGCAATTATTTATGTAGTGTAATAAAATAAGAAATATGTTTTGCAACAACTTTTAGTTGTCTTTAATTTATCTAGTATATAAAATATCACCAACTTTCATATGTGCAAAATACTTTACAGAAGATACAAAACTTCGGTAAAATTTAATTTAGTGTAGCAAATCATTTCTTCTTGTTGGGTGCAAACCAACTGTTCCTTCACGTACTTTTATGTATCATTCGCTGTGATTTCCAACTTCCAGTCCACTATAGCAGAAACAATAAGAATTACACACAACAAATATTAGTCAGAAAACTTGATGAGAAGAGATCTCTTTGAAGAACTAGGTGTAAATGGGAGAGCAACATTAAAATGGATCGTAGACAGAGTGGGGCAGAATTAATTTGGCTCAGAAAAGGAACTTGTGGCAGTTTCTTTAAAACAAAATAATAAGCCCTTAAGTTCCATAAAAGCAGGGAATTTCTTGACTCTATCAGGGGCTATAAGCTTCTGGGGAATGACTCAGATTCAGGGTGTTACGCTGCGATTAGATTGCAAGCATACTCGTATGAACTGATGGCCAAGCAATAGCGGGCAACTTATACTGTCAATAAAGCCACTGTGTATATAAGGCAATATACAGCGGTATGTTAAACAAATAGTGGGAACAGAATAACTGTTGTCAGTGGACTCAACTACACTAGTCATAGAAGCCTGTCAATTCATTAAATCAACACCAACTTTAAATACCAATCTTGAATTAAATTACCCATTCTGGTAATTATCAATACCACATGTAATGGTTAAAGTACCATGATCCAGACAATGGCATTTCCTCCTTAAAAATGAAATTGTTACATCAGAATGATTCCATTATCAGAACCTCATTTCTGAAAACAATGTCTAAGCCCAGTCTTGATGCTGGTACTGCACCCATGCCATAACTGAATTTCCTTGTGGTATGTTCTCTGCTGACGCTGTTTTCCTGGTTACAGACATGGTGCCAGGCTCTGCACGTCTTACTACAGTATCTTATGGTGGCCAACTACATGTGGATGTTCTGTGAGGGTCTGCATCTCCACCTGGCACTGGTCGTAGTTTTTGTGAAAGACCGTGTCGTGATGCGCTGGTTTCATGCCATTGGATGGGGTCTGTCATTCATCCTCACAGTTATCTACGCTGCAGTACGGGGATCAAGGCCTGAAGACTCACAGCGGTACACAAGTTTCTTCTAATGGGACACACCTTCACTTTGTCAGCTATTTGTAACAAGAGATAATGCTAAATATCGCGACCACGTTGAATACAATTCATCATTTAATTATTGGATTTTGAGTTGATTCGATTTCTTTGGTCATTCACTCATCCAAATTCTTCCAGCCATCGAGCATTGTCTTTCCACTGCACGTGGTGACCTTTATCTTATGGAATCTCTCAGAAAGTATCCAATATTCATGCACATTCACTATGCATTGCCTTTCTTTGAATAAAAACAAAGTTATAGCAAAAAACAAAGAAATTACACAAAACAATACGAAAACTGCTTTGCATGAAAGTAGTCTATGAATAAATGTAGATAAAGGAAATGAGGCAACTGAGGGAAAGATGCAGCTCTTTAGCAAAAATGTTCCTATTTTTTTCCATTTAAGAGATAATATACAACATATTTGTAGATCAGTTCACCATCTGCTATTTGCGTAAACTTTTTAAAGTGAAAAATATGACTACAAAAATTTGTTTCTGACTTTTAAACAGTGTGCGTAAGATCTAAATGGAACAGAGACAAGGTGCCAAATAAATGGCAGAAGTATCACTGTAATATAGCTAACAGTCACGATCAAACACTAAACAACAAAATATATACACAATTTATCTCATCAAGGCTCAGTTATATGCCTGACAAGTGACATATTACATTGAAGATACAGTATGGCCTGTTTGCATGGACCAAAACCAAGGACATCTTTAGGAATATAACATGGTCAGCAAATGATTTGCATGTGCATGTTAATTCCATTTCCCCATGGCTGGATGTCATGGGTAAAATCACAAAAACCTGTATGTTAAGGGGTAGATTATGCCACTATTGTAGATTTTTCATTACCTATATATAAACATCAGTCCATAAGAAAATCATGTTGTAACAATACCTAAGAAATATTTTAAAATGTGTTAACACTTAAGTGACCTGTTGCTTGGCGGGGAGGATCCACTAAAATACCATCGTCAGAGCAGGTAGCACAAGAGACGGGACATTGAGAACATGAGCTCTGGTCATGATGCAGATGTACAGAATTAGAACTCAATGTTGGACTGAAGTGAGTTAAATGGACAGCAGACCATAAGTATTTGCAAAGTGCTTCAGAAAATACTTAAACTCAAAACAGATAAAGTTAAAAAATGTACATAATAAAGAATTCTGTTACTTACATTCTTATCCAGGGTTCATGTGGAAAAAGCTAGGAACATGTGCACGCACTAGAAAGGCCAAGAGATGACACTAACAGGTTGGTGCTTTGATATAGGTGTTGGATGGAGGACAGTCACACTCAGTGGATTCTAACAGCACCGGTCCTCATTTCCATGGTAGCAAGTACAATATTTCTGGTGAACGTGGTTCATATCTTGCTCACCAAACTGCACAGTGCATCAGCCAACCCAGCGCCACTAAGCATGCGGAAGGCAGTGAGGGCCACCCTTATCCTGGTGCCACTGTTTGGAATCCACCACATCCTCATCCCGTTCCGCCCAGAGCCTGGGCAGCCTGGAGAGAAGTTGTACCAGGTGTTTTCTGCTGCGGTTGTCTCGCTACAGGTCAGGATGTCCATACTTTTGTAAAATCATAAGTTCGTGGGCTTAGAGTAATGTCATCTGCCATGGTTATGTGCTATTACATGAAATCAAACACACAAACTTAAAGAATTAAACTAATGTCAGCATAGTAAAGTCACGTAGCAATTGATGTTTTCATGCTGATTTTTGTTCAGACTAGGCTAACATTCAGCTCCTAAATGATAAAATACAAACCTGTTCCCCACTGGCATAAAAATAAGATGCATGAAAATCCCATGTAATTACTTCTTATTCCAGACACTGATTTATCCATTGTCCTTAAGAACACATCAATAAATTAAGTCCGAGAACCCAAAACCTCGTAAAAAGATACAGGACACAACAGATTTATAGTGGTGAGCTGCAGGGGGGTCAGAGGGGCTCATGTGAGCCCCCTGTTAATTTTTGGCTATCTCACTTTGTTATTGGCACAGAAAGAATCAAATGACGCAAGTGATGTGCCAGGATCAAAATATCGATACACCTTTCCTGTCTCTACTTCCAAATGCCAAATTTGGAAGAAACCTGTGCATTTGCTCAAAGCACTACACTGACCAAGCACAAGCTTTTTTATGCTATATGTATGAGCCATTACTTTGCTTGATAATATAGATTGCTTATGTGAGTACCCTGTGAAGAAATTGACAGATTCAAGTTTATTCAATCATAATAAGACTGATTTATTAGTGACTATATGTCCAAAAGTTAAACACAAAATTGTCAAATAAAGTAAGGTATTAATAACTTAACCAAAGTACCTGTATTGTTATTTCTCACACACCCACCTCAAAGGATATAATTTCAATTTTGACAATATTTTGCCTGCAGAACAATACAAAAAATTCACGTTGTCATTAAAATGTTAACACAAATGACACCAAACATGCTCTGGTTACGTCTACACTCCAAACTATTCCTACACAAGTAAATGCCTCATCCACCAACTGGGTCTCTTTTTACAGGGTTTCTGTGTGTCATGCCTCTTCTGTTTTGCCAACATGGATGTCCACTACGCTATGTTGCCACTGTTAAAGCAGCTGTTTGGATCAGGTTTTCGAAGAGAAAGTGCCATTACAGCACAAGGGGCAAACACCCTAACACACAGTACACGGGACTTGTGTGTCTGACACTGCGTCCGACCGCAGAGGACAAACTGCAACCAAAATGACCATGAAATGGAGATATGGTGACCCAGCCACATGTCAGAATTGAGCTGACCATTGTTAATTACATTACTAAACTAAAAGTCTATGTTCAGAATACAATAATGTGGAGTCGGTGCACTAATAAACAAATGTTCATCATTGTCATAGTGAAAGCATAATGGACCACAATTTAAACCAGTTCAATTCATATCTTCACCAGTTTCTTAAAGGTCCAGTTTAATATATTCTTTACATCTATACCTTGGTCTTCCAAATGAACTCACTTCAGGTTTTTAATGACAATTTTGTACAAAAGTCTCATTTTATATGCCCAAACTTCATTAATCTCTTTAGTTATAGAAATAATGAAGGTCACTGTGTGATCATCAAGTACAATTGCAGTGTTACATAATTTACTTTGAGAAACTTGAAAATAGTTTCAAAAGTAACATTATAAAGTTAAATTTTATATTTTATTAGGCTCATAATTATATTTTTTGTTTTCACCTGTTGGTTACTCCTGGGTATCCGAATTCCGTACATTTCACTGGATTTCCTCTTGAAGTTGCTTTCAATGTATTTACTATTGATTTATGCTTGTTTATGAATTATAAATTAATACACACACAATAAATAATATAATTTTCATTTTCTGAAGTTATTATTGGTTTCAAAACATTTTCAACTTCTGCATTAAAACTATCTAGAAAATTGAATAATTTTCTAATTCTTCGTTACCACAGGTATCAATGTAGCAAAATGTTTTCATTAATATCACGCTATGCATCAACAAACTTTACTTTCCTAATATGCAATATAATTCTGTTGCTCTTTAAATCAAGGTCTAATTATGGTTTTCATACTCTCTAATTGTGTACCATATAATGAGTATTTAAGTGTGTGTGTTAATAAATATATTCTTTTTCATCATATTCAACTGCATTCCATTTACATACTACTCTTTCATGGTATAACCTCATGTGAAACAGTCCAGTATATATGACGCTAGTCATCAATCAGTTCTCTAACAATGGAAAATTGACTGAATGACTTGATGCTACAAGTACTGACTGCAAAAATTAAGTTTATCTCATGCCAACAAATTATTTTTCATGGTTTCTAATGATCAAGATGGATCTTAGGGAAGTGGGCTGTGAAAATGGCAAATGGATGGAGTTTGCTCGGGATTGTGGCCGGTGGCAGACTTTGGTGTTGTCGGTGTTGAACCTGTGGGTTCTGCTACCAGGGAGTTAGTTAGTTAGTTTTGGTTTATAATGATCAAACTAATCAATGGGACTGTAACAGCACAATTTTTCACTTAATAAGATTACTTCTGAAATTTGTAGATATTATGTGACTGATTTAATCAATTGACTTTGAAATGCCTTAAAATGTTAAGGCAGTAAATTTTCAATTATAAAATGTTATTTTGTAATATACCATGTACAAATGTGAGTCAAATTAAACACATGGGGAAATAGATTTAAGAAGTAGAGGCCAAGTAGTTTTAGAGTATGATTTTACAAGTGCAAAGGTTACTACCTATCCTTCACATTAATGCCTAAAACAAGTCGTGTATAATGAAGATGACCAAGAATTTTAGAAGAAAAATAATTTTACAGCTTCAGATTTGAAAGTGTTTGCAACAGACACAGACCATCACCAATATGAATTGACATGTATAAATCAAACTTTTGTCTGACTTGAGGACTTTTAATAATGCAGGCAGCAATCACCAATTTTCTCTGGGCAAACCTGTGCATATGTAATTTAACATATCTAGATGAGGGGAAGAATATAAATTTAATGTAAAAATACGTGTTATGCTACAGGAAAGATACAACCATCTTAATCCTATCTTTCTTGAAGCACATATTCATCCACTGTTGGCCTGATGGGCCTAACACAGCTTTACTGTTTACCCACAAATGTAGAAATAAGTTGAAGAAGATAAGAAGTAGACACTAAAGAAAACATTAAAACAGCAGTCAAAACCACCTAAATTGATGGTAGTGAAAACAAGCATTGATGGAAGTGAAACGTAACTCAGTAGAATAATAGTTTCAGAAATATGATTCCTAAGATAAGTAGCAGGTTGTACTCTCCTGGATCGGATTCAAAAGAAGGCTGTATAGTATTAGATGTTTACTTTAAACGATAAAATACTTGACTAATTATGCACATGGTTTATAATGTAGAATCCTAGGCTTGCAAGGAATTATAAAACACAAATATCTGTTCAGTAGTGTATGTTCACTATGTCAAAGCAGAAATAAATATTGTGAAGAAATGCAAATATATTAATATTTTTATGAGTCTAAATGTTGTTTAACCCATCCAAAGACTAAGTTTTTTTTACCACTCTCATACTGCCCAATTGCTAACCATTACACATTTTTGTCGAGTAATTGGTATTACGATAATCTCAGACATACATCATGTGAAGATTAAACTTATTTAACATCAGCATGCACTGAAATACATCTTCATCTATGGCCACAACTGATTTTGCAGGATTTTTACAGTATACAGGGCCAGGAACATACATATAGCTTAGCATGTTTCATGTTCATTACAGTCAGTTCCGATAACCTCAACAGGAGGCTTCAAGTTCAATTTTTCAGCATCACAAAGTTCTGAGTTCATGGTAAATCCAGTCCACTTCTCAAAATTCCAGGAATTTTTTAACTCATGTCTTTTTAATGTTCCCAGATAAGTCCTTTGAACTTATTAGCTCTGCCTACATCAGTAAATTTTAAGAATCAACTACTGAGAAGGGGGTGCCCATAGTGAGACTTTGTCTACTGCCAGGTTCATAGGTTATTCTGAAATGGATATATGATACCAAACAGAATGACAGAATGGTTAAATTCTGGGAAGGAAGCAGCAGTGACCTGTTTTGAAACACCATCTGAGCATTCACCTGTAAAGCCTGAGACAAATTATGAAAAAATTAGTCAGAATAGGTAATGTCTAATCACAACACAGAGTCATACACACAAGTGAAGCACGGGCAAACCAACTCACTCTGTTAACTTCCAGTGAGAAAATAATGATTACCAAAAGAGAAGAGCTACAGCTAACATGAATTCTTAACCACAGCAGGGGCCTTGTATTCTCAGCATTTAAAGATATTTCAGTTTGTCATAGCATGAAAAAAATTCATATTTGGTCCAGTTTCCCTGAAACCCAAGATTTTTGGCACAGATTGGCATAATTTTAATTCTATACTGCAAACCAACATGGAAAATTCTTTAATACCAAAACTAATATGCAACAAGTTAAAGTAAAAAACTGATGGCAGTACAAGGGTATTCATATGTTGTACATAATGTCTGAAACATCATTAATATTTAATTGCAAAATCAGCTTTTCATGATCATGTAATAAATACAGCAGACAGTTAAAGATAACTCAGCCTTAACAAACTTAGGACATTCCATTTCCCAGATTTTAGACCATGTTACACAGCAATAAATTTGAATTATTTTTACTTACGTACAAATGCATTCAGTTTAACCTGTTTAGTGTTTACACCTTTATGTGACTCCTACACAGACAAGCGTGTTTGAGTGAGAATACTGTACAGAAAGAAGACTGCTGCATCCTGTTGTGTACGATGCAATGGCATCAGATGAATGGCTCACGCTGAAACAGACCACAGGAAATGTCAATAAACACACACAAACACACAAAAACAGATAAGATATTTCATGGGAACTGAACACAAGAGAAATGTTTACTAAATAAAAGTTCAGAGGAAGGCTTAAGAAAGAACACATTTATTTGTACTATCTCAATAAAATGTTCTATTTGTCTTTTGCTAAAGCACCTGTCACAATCTTGACCGTAACTCTGATGGCAAATGCTCAATGGCTTCTAAGCACAGGAGAAGCCCCTCACCTTGACGCACTGCTGGAATGTGCGCGTATGTTCCACACCCGCACAGTACTGTCCAAGCCACACGAAGCTAGACACTCGCTGTCACGACTCCATGACAGTCCGACAACAGCGTCCGCGTGTCCCTTCAGTTCCACAAACATCATCCCTGCTGCCAAGTCCCAGACTCTCACTCGTTTGTCTTCTCCTAAATTCATGTCCAACATCATCAAATCAACTTCAATAAATAAAAATGTAACAATTTTGTACACAACTGCATGGCTGGTAACAGTCTTATACATAAGTAACCCTTCAAAAAAATTGTTTCCATTTAAAGAAATACCATCCTGAGATATATGTGATACCATAATTCATCATTTACTCATGCACAATGTTCCTCCCTTCTCCTCACTACTCTTAACCTCAAAAAAGTATGGAAGGGACATAAATCCCCACACTATGGGGATACCAGCTAGATTTGTAACTGTGGGGAGGTTAAACGATAGCAGTATGCTACTGCAACACATCGCTAAAATGAACCGAATGTAAACTCCAATGTACAGCCCATAAAAAATTAATAATGATGGTGGAGGTGGTGGGGTAATATGCAGATTATACTTTGTTGGGTTCCACATGCTGTCCCTGATGTGTTCAGAAATCCTAGGAGACGTGATGGCCAGACAATGTTGCTGAAATTGTTAATTTAAAACTAAGATAACATTTACAGATGGGAGTAAGGATTTAAAACTAAGATAACATTTACAGATGGAAGTAAGGAGTGTTGTATGCTTCAAAGGTTCTGGACATATCAAGAAATTCAAATGTAATGACAACTGCCCCTGAACATAACATTCAGTTACCTGCAGAAGCAATGTACTTCCCATCTGGACTGAAGGACAAAGCTTGGACCGCCCCTTTGTGACCTGGGAACACCCTCACCAGCTTAGCATCAGCAACAGCCCATAGCCGCACTGTCTTGTCAGTTGAGCCTGTTGCAAGGTATGAACTATTTGGGTGGAACTGCACTGCCTGGCAACAAGTTATTCAGATTAGTCAGACATCGCCCAAGGTGTACATGTAATGGCTGTCAGACAAAACATATGGTACCTCAACATCCTGGTTATGGCCAGCAAATATTCTTAAGGGAAACGTGCGATCCAGAGACCAAAGACGAGCAGTTCGGTCATGCGAACCGGTGGCAAAATACAACCCCAGTGTACTAACATCTACACACCAGATGGGATAGTTGTGTCCTCTGAAACAAAAAACCAAGCTGTACAAACATGTTCCATTACCATCCAAAATCACAGGAATGAGAACTGGCTATTTAATACAAGCTGTCGACAGCACATGTTTGCAACGGTTAATCAACCACAGAAGTGGTAGGAAAGTTATGAAACATGTTTTTAATCAAATTATACATTTTTCTGTGTACAGAATGTTCTTTCAACTACATTCACATTTAGCACAAATAATTTATTTTTATAAGAATATTAAAATAATTAAAAGAACCATGTCATTAATATTACTTTACCTATAGACAGCAACACATGAGAAGTCATCCATCCTCCATACACGCATAGTTGTATCATGAGCCACTGACACTAACAGTTCATCAGGAACATGAGCAATGTCCTGCACATTCCCACTGTGACCTCGCAAACAGACTGTGTTGCGCTCGGGCCTGTATAACACAGCATACAAGTATTCAGTCCCCCATTTTATCACCAAAATCAGATCTCAACAAACTGGGACCACAGTTGGAAGGCACCTCCATGTTTGCTTTCTAAATGTGTAAATACTCTGCAGCAGGTATGTAGGAGTGTCTATATTTACTTTTTACTGAAGCATTTCGTTACATTTAATCATACGGAAACCAGTGCCATTTTGACCAGCATATGATTCACACCAGGATTTAATCATACGGAAACCAGTGCCATTCTGACCAGCATATGATTCACACCAATTCTCCCATCAGCTTCAGTGAGAACCACAAAGTAAATCAACAACCAGCCTACGCTAAAATACCACTTCTCTTTTGCATACCCACATTACACAGAACACCACTGGCCCACATTCAAGCTCCTCGTACATGCTCTAGTTCAGTATGAATTATTTTATGAAGATGTACAGCATTCTGACCTGTGCTTTTCATTTTTCTAATACTCCAATATCTTAATACTCAATATGAATTGTATATCTAAAATATCATACACTCAGTAAATAATGTTTTATTAATGTTTCTACACATTACTTTTATGTTTTCATTAATCTGAACCAATGTATGACACTTACATAAATAATGGATCCACTTTCAAAGCAAACCAATACCTACACCATTGCTCCAAAATAACGTCTTGCATGTTTGGCTGTAGATAGTGATCTGAATTTTCTAAAAAAAAAAGTTTTTGTAATTTTTGCATTGTGTGT